CACTTTGTTGGGAGTTCCACTCCCGCTCTCGACCTTCCAAGTCAGAGCTTTTAGTCCAAACGTGTTACACTCGTTTGGGCTTTTGCTTCGGCCACTACCACATGGCAACCTTTCCGGCTCCACTTTGGGGCCTAGGGATTTTGTGTCTCACACTAGTATTCCACGTGAACTTACTCAAGCCGTACTTTGAGGATCTGCTTTGCAAGCACCAAGTAAAACCTTTACTTGTGGTTATCCAAGGGGAAAAGGAATACGAAGTCGAGGCCATCCTCAATGCAAGCAAGAGCAAGCAACAAGGATGCAAGGTGAGAGAGTTCCATGTGAAGTGGAAAGGATTTCCACACTGCAAAGCAATATGGGAACCGGAGGAGAACCTAGCCAATGCACGAGATTTAGTGGAGGAATTTTGCAAGGCAGAACTCTATGTACTTAAGCAAAATTCAATTAAAGTATCAAATTGTGAAGTTAAGCAATGGCATATATTGGGACCTGAAAGCACACCGAAGGTAAGCTAATTAGCATGGGTTAGATAAGTCGACTAGGTGTAGGGAACTATGCCCGACTCCCTGCGGGGATGTCAAATCCGTAAACGTATTCTACAAAGGTTGGGTTCGAGCCCCAACCCCCTAGTAAAGCAAGGCTGGGTTCAAGTCCCGACCCCATACTAGGGCGTGGTGAGGTGAGGGGTATAAGAACACCTATATTCCGTTGTCATGGGCTCTTGGTTGGGGAAGCTAACTTAAGCACACCATTAAGTGGGGGGATGCCCTTGGAGACATGGGCAACAAGTCATAGGATTAAAAAGAGATGTTTGATGTGGGCATCGAACTTCTTCTATGGGTGGTGGAGTTGTAAGGAACCAACTCCCCGAGGTGTCGTAGGCTAAAGGATCCCTGAAAGCATGACCAAAATGATAAAGAGTTCATCGGATGGGATCGAGTCTAAGATCGAGTCCAAGACCAACTCTGAGACCGAGTTCGAGATAGAGTCTGGGATCGAGTCCGAGGTCGACTTTGAGGCCGAGTTCGAGACCGAGTTCGAGACTGAGTGTGAGACAGAGTCCGAGATCTGAGATCGGGTCTAAGACCAAGTCCGAGGTCGAGTCCGAAGTCAAGTCTGAGATCGGGTCTGAGGTCGAGTTTGAGACCAAGTCCGAAGTCGGGTCCAAGATCATGTCCGAGATCGAGTCCGAGACCGAATCCAAGTACTAATACAGGTCAAGGGGTGAAAGCCCAAAGCATGTGTCTCCCAAGGGGGGGAGGGGGGGCCTGCAGGGGGTTCCAAAAGTATAGTAGGGATAGTGAAGTGTAGGAACTAGTCTTGAAGAAACTCTCTAGTGGTACTTCCAAATTGACTTGAGGTTGAGATTGAGACCAAGGGGCCTTGGGTGTGAGTGAGCATGGACTTGAGGGGTGTTGGAGGGGCCACCCAAGGAAGTGCTCAAGAGCAGCTCCCACTCTCGGAAGGGAAACCAATTGTAATGCTCCCAACTCATGTGGAGTGGTGCCCCACTTGAGTACCTTGTGGCTCATTGGTCCCCACCCTTCCTAGGGGCTTGAGCCTTCCCTTCGAGATGGAAGTGGAGGGGTAAAGGTACCCATACCGGGCCGCTAGGCCACAGTGTTTCGCCCTAGCGTCCCGAAGCAAGTGTTGCACCGAAGGCTTGGGATTTAGAGGGTCCCATAATCAAGTCTTGTTGTACCAAGGGATGTTAGGAACCTTGAGGCTTGGTGTGCTTTAGGCCTTGGATATGTCGGGCCCCGGATATGTCGGGCACCTGACATATCTGACCCCAGATATATCGGGCCTCAGATATGTCCGGCCCCGGATATGTTGAGCACCCAATATGTCAGGCCCTAAACATGTCTGGCCTTGGATATGTTGGCTGCTTGTGCCTATGGGGATTGTAGCCGAACCTTTAAGTCCAGTCTAACCCGGGGACAGGGATTGGGAGAGATTTGGGAATCCATGTATGGATGGATAACGCTTTGTTGCTCGTGCAATGAGTAGCTGAAACCAAATAGGACTAAGTAAGAGTTGGTACAATAGGCGAGAACCTTGGTGAGGGAACTTAGCTAAAAGTTAAGGTAATGTTGGTCGGATAGATGAGATAAACTAGCAAATTGAAAAGGAAATATTTGTGGCTTATACGTTATTAAACATGTAAAATTAAAGTTACTATAATCACAAATAAGATATCCAAATACTTGTTGCAAGTAAGCTAGATAACAAGAACTAACTTTGGCAAATTATAGCATAGCGAGTTCACCATAAGCACACGACTATAATGATTTTGTTGGAAATTGTTAAAAGTTGTTGTAATGTTATTGTATCCTTCCTCTTCTGCCCCTACTTTAACAAGAAACTTTTTATCACATTTGTGATTTGCTTTTGGACCACAAAATCCAACAAACATATTTGTTTTTGCATCCAAATGTACTACTGTCTTGATGTGTGTCGCGAATGTGACTTTGGGTATTGAAAGTTACCTATCGGCCAGTCCTTTTGGATATTCTTTCCTTACTACCACAGGAGGTCGGTATTGCTGGCAAGAGGTTGGTATTGCTGGACCCGTTATCAGTTTCCCACTTGAGCTAGTTGAGAACTGGTCAATGACCGTGTACTTAGATCAGATAAACATAAGGTCGGAACCCTATGTGTTTCTTGCTGAGCATACTCGGCTTGGTTTGAGAAACTCCTGTCCTTGGCTTGCACTTGCTAGTATCAAGAACCCCCTCGATATTGAGATTCGTCCCTCAATATCGCTAGATGATAGCTTACTGTGTCTACCAAACACCCTTGCTATCATGCCCTTTGTGTTAGTCTCATTTCGATCCCAAATGCTATTTATGGAAATTGTTCAGATTTGCTCATTTGGCATATCTATGGAATGTAGAGATCGGCCTGAACACAATGGTGTTCGTCCCGTGTCCAAATTCGCAATCTAGCGCCATTCCATATTTAGTAAGTTTCGAGTTCCAAATGTATAGTAGGGGTAGTGGGTAGGTCGGGCATGGCCGACCAACCTGACGCATAATCTAGCTCCCGCTTGCGTGCCTGTCCTTGTTCTACGTCCGGCTTGGGTCTAAGCCCAAGCTCCACACCATGCTAGCTAGTGGAGTACCCATATCCTCGCGTTAGGCCACCAATATACCGAAATAGCGCCAGACTCCGTTTTGCGTGTTGGTCCTGGCATTGGGATGCTGGTTACTTTAGGACTGTTCCAAGTCGCTCCGAGCTCCTGTCCCTTCGCTCCTTGGGCTGTATGCTCGGGAGTTGCTCCGTGGTCCGGTTCCATCACTCCTTGGCTCCACGCTTGGGAGTCTGGCACCATTCCTTTGTTCAGTGGCCCGAGGCCCTAAACTTTGGGTTCCACACCACGTTCCTTGGACACGTGGCATGTGACATGTGGCATCTGTCACGTGGCACAAAGATGGTTTAGGTTCTGCTTCGTGGTGTTATCCTGTAAATCACCATAGGATAAAGGGTAAAAACCACGTGCGCTACACTTGGTATCAGAGGATGAGTCTCAGCGAGTACTATTCAATGAGATTGGGCAACTAGTCTCATTGCATATGCAGAGATGAAAACGATGGTCCAAGTGGGTACATATTTGGGTGCAAAGGCTTCACAATCGTTCCTTAGGTATAGATTTGGTTACCTTCTTGTACCGTAATTATGTGAGCTTGCTCTTGTGCTCATAAGAAAGATTGAGTTGTTCTAATAGCACAAGTTTGCGCTTGGGCTCGTGAGTGAGGCGCATTAGCAATTCAAGGTTGCACTTTGAGTTGGCAGAATTAATGTTAGCCTATCAATGGTTCCATGAGTTGTTCTTTGTACCATGGGTGAAAGCAAACCTCCCTAGGTTTGCTATGAGTGGCAAATAGGCTGGTCCATAGCTGTTTAGCATGGCACTAGTGAATTCTTCGTAGGCATGATTACAAGTGGATCAATCAAGACTATAGGGATTAGTCTATTGGTTCAAGTAATCATTGTCGTGCTCTCTCATAAACTTTTCTTGGATTGGACTGAACGCAGTGTGAAAGCAAGCTTGAGGTTTAGTCAAAGATGAGACCGAAAAGAGAGTCGTTAAGGACGAAGGATCAAACACGTAAATCATTTTCTCTTCTCAGAGAGATGATTTGCAACGAGGTGCTAACTCATTGCTCGTGTTCACATCATGCAATCAAGAGTCCCTACCTTGATGCATGTTGGAAATGATAATCTTTCAAATAGTGAGTTGTGGGATGGATAGTGATGAAACGCTAAACCATTTTTGTCTAAGGTTGCTATTGAAGACTTGGGTTGCAATGCTCAATTCTTTTCCGGGGAATCCTGTTATTGCTCCTTGAGTAGCTTGGTGTTGGATTAGTTTTGAGTTTGGTCAAGTAGAGAGTGGCATGAGCTTGTCCATGTTGTGAACAAAAGTTAGTGGTATTAGGTGTTGTAAATCTCTATCGGTGGGGTGTGTGTGGCATTTATGTTGCATTTTGTCAAATTTAGTTAACACTTGATATTTACATAAACCTTTGAAGTAATGACATGGGCATTGCTCATAGTGTTGCTTGATTGATGATCAATTCATTGTGATACTTATATCATATCCATGTGATAATAAGTAATGTGTTTACGAAGTTGCTTGGGTAAATGATGGTCAACCCTAAAGTGGTTGATAGTGAAGCTAATCTACTTGCACGAAGTAGCATTGTAGTAGCTTTGACTAAATTCTCGATGATGGTCCATTATGCTATATGTTGGTACTTTATTTCCTTGAGTTTGCCCATTAGGTGTTGGAAAAGGGTTATAGCATTCACTTGGTATGACTTGTTGGTTGATCCATTAGCACTTGGAATCATAGTTGCCGAAAAACGTATGAAACTAAAAAAACGTAACGTTTTAAACGCATTAAAAAACGCCGTTTTAAACTCCTAACGCGTTTGCACTATTTGCGAAAAGAGACAAGAGTTTCTTTAGGGTTTCTTTAGGGTTTCTTCAGGGTCATGTCAGGAATTGGAGGACGCCGCGAATGCTGGAGCTGGAAGCATGTGATACGAGCAGAGCGGCACTGGACATGTAAGTATTGTCATGAGATTCACACTGGGGGAGCGGAGCGAGTGCGAGCACATCTCGCTGGAGTTCGGGCAAGAGGTGTGAAAACGTGCAAGGCAATGAGGGAGATCCCTTATGAAGTTCTTAAAAACGCTCGCAGCAGTTTTTCCGATTTCGAGCTAGCAGACCCAGCAGATGCTGATGATGGGCATCTGCTGCAGCAAGCCGCACAGGGTTCAGGGGGGCCAGCAGAATCTATGGTGGCAAGCACGGAGAACTGGTCCAGTGCTGGGACAAGCAGAGCAGCGAAACGTAGATCCTCGGATGGAAATTTGGTGACATTTTTTGATACTGCTTCGGCTGAGGCACTGGATGATGCTGTTGCAGAGTTCTTCTTTGCCGAGAACATCTCCTTCAACACAATCCGAAGAGACAACTTGAAGAGAATGCTGAAAGTTGCCGCAAAAGTGGGGCGTCCAGCGATTGACAACCTCATGGGATATGAGAAGTTGCGGACAACTGAGCTACAACGAATATACAACAACGTTCAGAAGCGGCTTGAAGATGTGCGGCTAAGTTGGAGGACATATGGTTGTACCATTGTCACGGATGGCTGGTCTGATATCAAGAAGCGGTCTCTTATCAACTTCATGGTTAGTTCTGTGAGAGGCTCAATTTTCCTGAAGGCTGTGGACAGCAAGAATGCGAAGAAAACCGGAGCATGGTTGTTTGAGCAGCTGAAACAAGTGATTGCCGAGGTTGGTGCGGAAAATGTTGTGCAGGTGGTGACAGACAATGCAAGCAACTGCGTGGTCATGGGGGAGCTTTTGCAGCAGGAGTTTCCACAGATTGTACACGTTCGCTGCATTTGCCACGTTATGGACTTGCTGTTTGAAGATATTGGAGCTCTGTCTTGGGTGCAGCCTTTCGTCGATGGCTGTGCGAAGATAGTTACCTTCATCACCTCAAAGCCACGGGTTCTAGCTCTTTATAGAACTTTCTGCAAACGGGACCTGATAAAGCCTGTGACCACGAGGTTTGCTTATATTTTTCTCGTGATGTCTCAGCTTCTGGAGACCACGAATCTCTCCGGGCTTCGAAGAATGGTGGTGAGCCAAGAATGGGAGTGACTTGACTGGTCTAAGAAGCTGGAGGGCCTGGAGCTGCGATCTCGTGTTCTCAATGACTCGTTCTGGGAGCGGTGCGAGAATTTGTTAATTTTGCTCGGACCTTTACTTCGAGTTCTTCGACTCGCTGATCGGGAGGGGGCGACTTCAGGCCTCATCTTTGAAGCTGTTGATCTGCTGATTGAGAAGATGGACGAGGGAGCTCGAAACGGAATTTATGCACATGAGGAAGTGGGACAAATCAAGGATTTCCTACTTGAATCACACGGTCTGAAGGAGGCAAGGTGGTATCAAATGCACAACGTCATTCATGGAGCTGCTTTTGCTCTTCATCCTCTGTTTCTGGGGGATAACTCAGAGAACGACAAGCTGGACAATGAGGCACACGGGAACTGGTTGGAGTACATGCATGTTTATAGCGGAGGTGATCTGGACTTGCAGCTGAGATTGCAGGCACAGTTTGAGAGGTTTCGGCAACAGCTTGGACGGCAAATGAGGTTACCTGTTGCCAAGGATCGGGAGACCAGAAAGTTTCCAGTAACCTGGTGGAGTTCTTTTGGTTTAGAGATGCCTGATCTACGTCGCATGGCTCTCCGGATTTTAAGCCAGGTTGTTTGCGCTTCTCCATGCGAGAGGAATTGGAGCTCATGGAGCTTGATACAAACAAAGCGCAGGTCCCGCTTGCTTCCCAAAAATGCTGAGAAGCTGGTTTACATTCATACAAACTTGCGGGTTGTTCAGAAGCTGGAGAGTGAAGGTTTGAGGATGCTGGAGATTGATATAGACAAGCTGGAGTTGGAGCCTCATTGGAAAAGGATTTTGGATCTGCAAGAAGCTTTTGAGGAACCAAATCAGGCTGCTGACGAGTTTAGCATTGATGAAGGAATGGAAGACGATTCGGAATCAGAAGACGACTAAAACGGCTTCTTCTTTCATTTGTTTTATCGGTTGGGTTTTATAAACTTAATATCAGATTAAAGTGTATTTAGTAAATATTAGTGTTTTCTTAATCATTTTAGGCTTTAACATGTAAACGTTTGATTGCCCTGAAAAAAACGTTTTAAACGGCATTTAAACGTGGACGCGTTTGAACGTTTGCACGTCTAGCTGCAACTATGCTTGGAATAGATTGTTGGATGGAAAAGATGTATAGTTGGGGCATTGACATCATTAGCACTTGTGTTAGTGGAAGTGGCATTGTTATTTTAAGTGATAAGGAATTTTCCTTGAACCTTGATTTTCCATGTCATTTTTCTTGTTAATGTTTTGGCTTCACATTGGATCTTGAAGGTGATTGAAGAAGAGTGTTAATGCAATGTGCATATCCGAAGATGTGGTCTTCGTGATCAAGCCTTGGATGTTCATTTCACACTTTGTGAATGTCGGTGTTGGATATCGGTAAGATGGGCAAAGATGTTCGATGCTTAGACATATTGTTGAATCATAAGAATTTGTGTTGAGGTGAACCTATATGAAGTTGTTAGTAGGAGGAAATTGGTTGAGTCTTGAAAGTTTGCATTCCTGGACTAAGAGTCATTCTTTCTCTAGGATGGAAAATTTTCCACAAATTTTCTTAGACTTTTCAAATGGCTGATCTGTTAGTCACTTTGCCGAAAACCATTCCATTTTCGTAAGCCAGTACAAACTAATGAAGGGGTTGAAGTTGACTTCAGTTAGCTTAGACCTTGGTAGGTAGTTTGTATGATGCAACCCAAAAGGGATGCTGACTTTTGGGGCTAAGGCAATTGAGTTAGATAGAGTCTGGAGTTGGTGTAGAAAAGTGGCCGATATGCTTTTCTAAGAAAGGTGACCCTTGTGCCTTTCTTCTATAGTGTTGTGCTTAGTGGCAGGTTGGACCTTGCATTTCGTTAAGACTCTATGAGAGTAGTGAGCTCTCACTAATCTTGACTTAGTCTTGGCGGTTCTGCGCCTTTGTAGCGCACGTGGTTTTTACCCTTTATCCTATGGTGATTTACCATAGGATAACACCACGAAGCGGAACCTAAACCTATGTGCCACGTGTGGAACCCGAGTTTCAAAGCCTTGGGCCACTAAACGAAAGAATGGTGCCAAACTCCCAAACGTGGAACCAAGGAGTGATGGAACCAAACCACGGAGCAACTCCCGAGCATACAGCCCAAGGAGCGAAGGGACAAGAGCCCAGAGCGACTTGGAATAGTCCTGGAGTTCCCAGCATCCCAATGCCAGGACCAGCACGCAAAACGGAGCCAAATAGAGTCTGGTGCTATTTCGGCATACTGGTGGCTTAACGTGAGGATATGGGTACTTTACCAACTAGCATGGAATGGAACTTGGGCTTAGACCCAAGCCAAATGTAAAACAAGGACAGGCACGCAAGCGGGAGCTAGACTATGCCTCAGGTTGGTCGGCCATGCCCGACCTACCCACTATCCCTACTATACATTTGGAACCCCCCACAACCCCCCCCCCCCCCCCTTGAGGAACACACGCTTTGGGCTTTCACCCCAAGCCTCCCTTAGTATCAAGAGTTAGTCTCTAGGACAAGCTCGAAACTTACTAAATATGGAATGGCGTTAGATTGCGAATTTGGACACGGGACGAACACCATTGTGTTCAGGCCAATCTCTACATTCCGTAGATATGCCAAATGAGTGAATTTAGACACTTTCCATAAATAGCATTTGGGACCAAAATGAGACTAATAGAAAGGGTGTGATAGCGAGGGTGTTTGGTAGACACGGTAAGCTATCATCCAGCGATATTGAGGGACCAATCTCAATACACGAGGGTTCTTGTCAAGCCAGTGCAAGACAGAGCAAAAGAGAACTAACAAGCCAGCTAAGTATGCTCAGCTAAATAGACACTTAGGAATTCCTTCCTTATGCTCATCCAGCCAAGTACAGATGCTAAGCCCAGTTTACTAACACTTGAACAAGAGGGACTGATAAAGGGTCCAGCAATACTGACCTCCTGCCATCGTGGCAATAAGGTAAGAGTGTCCGTAAGGACTGGCCAAGAGATAACTTTTGATACCCGAAGTCACATTTGCGACACTCTCCCCCCCTTGGGAAGATCGACATCCTCGTTGATGCACACTCGAGTCTAGAATACCGCCAAGGAGACAACTCCAGAAAAAGTTCACGGTACTCACACTATGTGAGAAATGCATCAACTTAAATGAGTTAGGGGGCAACCTCGTTGTCTAACACGGATGCGCTACTAGCTCAGACACCTTCCGGCCGTCGCTGACAAGGAAATGACCAATGAAGTCAGCCACCCTTGCTGCTCTGGGTGTCACCCAGCTACAAAAGTGTGATATGCCCTTGCTCGCAAGGACATAGAGAGAAAAGCCAGAGGCCCCAACCCTCCTGAGCAAAGAAACCAAACCCGTTTGTAAGGTTTAGATAGACTACTGTAAATAGGCAGTTAGTGTTGTTTACACGGTCACGCCCTTTTAACGGAATAAGGAACATCAACAGAGAGGCGGGTGATGTGACCAGTCGACAGTAGCTACCCCAAGAGAGTTTTGGGTGGTGATTCACTCGTGCTTTCTTCTAGATTTGTTTTGGTGTTGATGGCATTGAAGTGATGCCTTGTCATTGACATTGTTGATATTGAGATCTGAGTGAAATGAGATATTCTTCCAAGATTTGATATTGAGTTTCATTAGTCTTGATGAAAATAGTGTTGATGATTTGGCTTTAGCTTTGTGTTGTTGGCATTCATGCATTTGCTAGTTAGCAATTGTGTTGACGTTCAAATGAACTGAGTGGCAAGTTGAGTTAGTTGTGTTCTAGATGAGATTGCTTAGTTGAGGTTAAACTTTAGCTTTTCCTTGAAAAATGATTTAGTCGTGAACTATACTAGCCTTAGGAGAGGAAGAATTAGTGTTCGATATTAGAATGTTTGAGTCCTTATTGGATTTGAGTTCAGGATATATCGATCGTTGATGATATTTCTTGTGCTTGTTATGAAGTGAGTTACATCTTGCTGTAGATGGATTCATGGAGGATCGTTTAGTGACCACTTGTTGGGCATAGCTCCATTGTGCTTCGCTTTTGGATTGATGCAGAAATGCTTTTCATTAGCTTTGGCATTATGAAGTTTAGCTTATGGATGTGTTGAAGAAGATATTGTGGGTTGCATCACGATTTCTTCTTTAGCATTGAAATTAGCTTCTATGAGACTCGTGATCATTATTAGGCAAGACTTAGCTATAGGCTTCTTCGAGCTTTTGGTTCCTTGAGTTTTGTGCTCATTATTCCATTTGTTAGACGTTGTTGGGGAAGGCATTTTGGTTTGTTAGCTTCAATGTTGAAGTTAGTATTTTGCATCTAGTAATCATTGGTGATGCTTGATTATCATTTAGGATAGTTGATTATCTTTGTCAAAAAAATTTGCTTGATTATTGTTGGTATAGAATGATTTGCTATTCTTCGGGATGGTGAATTTCTTCTTAGCCGATGATTCTGCATCTCTTTATTGATGGGATGATTGATCTTTCATGATGGTTAGTTGCTCTTTTTGATAGCTTATGGCTTTTCACAATACCACATGTTCTTTATGGTTTGTTTTGGATTGGTCTCTTGGGTTTGAGATATCAATAGGATGTTGCTAACGCTTGCTAAAGCAACTTGAGTTCCTTTGTATTATTGACTAGGATTTACAGATTAGCCAGTGTGATAGTTGGCATAAATGAATATTTGCTGGTCTTGCCGCATTTATTCTGTTTTGTTGAATATTGCTCAAGTTAGTTTTGATAGATTAGCATGTTATTTCCTTCGGGTGATACATTCGCGAGTATTTTGCTTACCAGTTAATGATATTTGGTGTTCTTTGAGTTATTTTGGCATTCTATCTGCAATCTTTAATAGTTAAGTTTTATCATTGAGTGTCCTTGATGATATACTTGTTATTGGATGGTGCATCCTATGTTTTCCAAACATGCTGATCTTAGTGGTTCCTATACTCAAATATTGGTTTATTGGATGATAACTTACTTGGAATACTTTTGTGTTTTAATCTAAACTATATTCACTGATAATTAAGACTCTAAGATATCATTGTCTATGACTTTGCTATTGTTCATCTATTGATCTTTGAGTTTAGGCCAGTATAGGTAGACTGGCTTCGGCACTTCGTGTGCATGTTGAAATCTTTAGTCATGGGGTAGCTACTGTCGACTGGTCATATCACCCACCTCTCTGTCGATGTTCCTTATTCCGTGAAAGGGCATGACCGTGTAAATAACTCTAACTGCCTGTTTACAGTAGTCTATCTAAACCTTACCGACAGGTTTGGTTTCTTTGCTCATGAGGGTTGGGGCCTCTGGCTTCTCTCTCTATGTCCTTGCAGGCAGGGGCGTATCACACTTTTGTAGCTGGGTGACACCTAGAGCAGCAAGGTGTAAGCTTTTGAATTTGGACTTCCCGGGAGGTCACCCAACCCAGTACTATTCAAACCCAAGGACGCTTAACCCCAAGTATCCCAAGACCCTTAACCGATTGGAAAAGGGGGTGCAGTCTTATTCATGGGCCCTTTTCCCTCTATATTTGAACCCCATGGATCGTCTCTCAAGTCGTTCCCTTTGGTTGCTTACACAAAGGTGGCTGACTCTGTTGGTCATTTCCTTGTTGGCGACGGCCGGAAGGTGTCTGAGTTGGTAGCGCATCCGTGTTAGACAAAAAGGTTCCCCCTAACTCATTTAAGTTGGTGCATTTATCACATAGTGTGAGTACCGTGAACTTTTTCTGGAGTTGTTTCTTTGGCGGTATTCTATACTCGAGTATGCATTGACGAGGACGTCGATCTTCCCTAAGGGGGGAGAGTGTCGAGAATGTGACTTTGGGTATCGAAAGTTACCTGTCGGCTAGTCCTTTCGAATATTCTTTCCTTACTGCCACGACAGCAGGAGGTCGGTATTGTTCAACCTGTTA